TCAATTTCTTTTTTAAACGAAAATTTATCATACACTATTAACACAAACAATTATGTTGGTACCGTGGTGGTATATAAAATTTCCGGTTTTCTCCATATATTAATCACCACAAATAACAATCATATGGGTTACACTCGCTCTTGTGTCACCGTCATTTAAATGCTTTAAACTTTTAAATTTATCCCGCATATATAAAAAAAAAAGAACTTTTTTTTTTTAATGAAAATTTGCGTCGCAAAAATCATCAGAGATAAAGAAATTTTTGAAAAGGATACCCTTTTTTAATATTGAACATGGAAAGGTGATTTGCAAGTGAAAAAAAAAGGTCGAATTACAGATTTAGAGTAAAAAAAAATAAAAAAATAAAATATAACAACAACAACAATAATAATTTTGTTTAGAAAAACAAAAAATATTACGCAAAAACTAAGTTATAAAAATTCTCTTACTTTATAATTCTCTTTTTAATTAATTGTTGATTTGAGATCATTGGTTTAGAATCATACAGAAATTATTGGTTTAAAAAAAATTTTTTTTTAATTGTAGATTAGCCTGCGCTCGAATCAATATTGTCGTCGTACATAATCGATCTAGAATTTTAACCTTTTTCTTTTCTTTTTCTTGTTCTTTTTTTTTAAAGTTCAGGTTCTTGGCAAATAACTCTATGTACTTTATGTACGAAATATTACATGCGAAGAAATCAAATTTAAATTATAAAATAGACATTTGAGATAAAGATGAATTGGTGTTACAAGTAAATATTTATGATTCAAAAAAAAAAAAAAAAATACGGTTTCCCTGAATACGAGATAGAATACGTTAATGCTATTTATGTCGGATATCGTTAGATAACGATGTTGATGAGAGATAAGTTTTTGTATTATTTACTAACCAGCGAATGGTACATGATAAAAATGTTGTGTTTGGATAAATAAGTAAAATTACCGTAAATGTTTTTCATTTTTGATACATAAAAAAACATATTAATTAATTTTTTTTTTTTTTTTTCCTTTCGGATTTACACAGATTATTACTGTTCACTACTGTTCAACTTTGACGACCAACAACAGCAACGAATGAACTGCCTTGTATTTTATTACTTTCCCCTTCGTTAAATTAACGGACAATCAGGAGTCGTACTTGTGTGTTATTCCCAAAGGTCTCATTACCGGATTCCCGATTGGACTGACTTCTTTTTCATTTCGATTTTAATTTTTGCAGATTTTTGATATTTCGTAGAAAGGTTTTTTTTATTCATGAAATAAAAAAATAATTTAGGATTTCATTTCGGAAATGATCCAAATCGTGGATCGCCCGAACATCATTTCTTTAACGAACATTTTCAAATGTTAACGAATCAAAAGATGAGAGGTTTATGAAGAGGTAAAATGGAGTTTCCTTCCTAAATGCCTTTAAAGAGTAAGTCGTAGTGTCAGTAATTCGTCGAGTAATTTTTGATCCGATTAATCACGGTCTCATTTTAAACCGATCTAAATGCGTGAAGATCATAATTATCACAGTCCATGATAAGTTGTAATATCCCGATGTAATACATGAGGTGAGACAAGTCATTCTCTTACCACAAACAAATGTAATATTAGATAAACAGAGGATTTTTTCATTCTGTAAGTGATGGATTTATAAAATCCAAAGATAGGAAATTAGGAAATTAGGCGGTATTTAAAGTTTTAATCTTTTAATTAAAAAAAAAAAATTAATAAAGCAGATCATATGGGCGTGGCGTATTTAGACTCCATCAAAACCGAAAAAATAAAAAACTCGAAGAAAAAAAAAAAAAGTGAAATATTTTTATTTTTTTGGTGGTTATCATAAGGTAAGGTGTAGATCCGCAATGCATAACGATTCTTCCACGAGTGATGGCGTGTGTTGTCTGTCATTCACGACCCTTGCAATAAACAATATCACCGCCATCCATAAGTTGGTAGAGGGGGGATTATGGAGAGGTACAAGATAATTTATTATGTGATATAGATAAGAACTTAATTATTAATTACCAAATGCGGAATAGCTCGTCAGATTTGGCGCAGCAAATCCCGTATACTTGGTAAGTTAATAGCGGTAACACATCATAAATTATGTGGGATATCATCATCAATGCATATTTGTTGTTGTTTTGTTTAAGGTAGTTTGTGTGTGTGAGTGGAATGAATAAATTACCAAATTGTTCTATTATGGTTGTAACATTGAAAAAAAAAAAAAAAAAAGTTTTTTTAAAAACCCTTTCCTAATAATTCTCACACTTTTACTCATTTCAACAAATTAAAACTCGTCGAAAAAAAAAAAAGAATATAATTTTCTTTCCATTTTTTTTTTATTATTTTTTTTTATTATGGAACGTAATCACGAGTTAACTAATTATATTCCAAGTATAAACAAACAATTTATATATCCCATAAGAATGATCGTGGGTTTTTGCAAAACGTAGTTGTTTGTTGTTTGTAATTTTATTCGATATATGATAAAATGTCCATATGTATTTATTATATATATATATATATATATATTAAAACAACCTTCTCGACTCGGAAATATTCAAGAATTTATCTGATGCAAAAAAAGATAGTTGATGATATCCAAATTAGGTGGTATTTAGCTGTAACAATCCCTGCGTATCCCTCATAATTAACTAATATATTTTGTCCGTGTGTTGTTTATTTTTTTGTTTACTATTTACCTTTTGGAACCAACATGAGTTGTACATTCATTTATTTTCCCTTCTTCTTGGGCTCTTTGTTGTTCTCCACTTTTCCCTTCCTTCCATTACATTATTACATTGTTTTCAATTTTCCGTTTAAAAAATTTTTATCATCCACTCAATTTGTTTCTCTCTAAATACACATCGGCACCTGTTTATAACGCTAACCATATTTATATGATTGATGCCATAATGTTCAAAATACTGTGACCTTAAAAAGTATTACGTTTGTCGCACTATTTTGCAAATCGACCAATTACTCTTTTGATCTTCACTTTTTTTAATTAAAAATTGTGGAAAAAAAAAATTAGTTAATTTATTCATCATAATCAAAAATGCAGTGCTTTAAACTAAGTATCATAAGAGGTGATTTCTATGACCCAACTTACCCTACCCCTTCGCTAGTGAAAAAAGAAGATCGGGGTAAATCTCTTCTCAATTAAATCTAATAAATCCATGTAATGTGATTTTTTATTTTATTTTTTTTTTTTTGTGTGGTTTAAAGTTTTTCATGTTCCTACCATGCTCGGTTGATGTTTGTGTGTGTGCCCTGTGCTTCTTCAAATTGTGAAATTCCTAAAATTCTCTAATTTTTTTTTTTTTTTTCTTGTGTTTCAATCACAAAAAATCAATAATTACAAGTTTAAAATCAGGTTTTTTGCTCCCCACTTCCAAAAAAAAGGTTTTGCTATTGCTTATCATCATCAAATATGATGTGTAACACACTTTCTTTTCTATTTATACTTACACATATCATAATCGATACATCTTAACTTTTTTAAAAAAAAAAAAATTAGATTTTTTTTAATTTATTTTATCCTACTGTAAAATTTTTATAATATATTAGAAAAAAAAAAAAAAAAAAATTTTTTTTTTTTGCGATATAAAATCCGTTGATAATTTCACACATTTCCGTCACAACATACTTCTTTCTATTAAATCAAAAAAAAAAAAAAAAAAAAAATTAAAAAAATATTATATATTTTTTCTCTCGTAGACTTATTTTTTTATTTTTTTTTTATTTTTTTTTTTTTCTCTTCGTATATTTATAAAAAAATTTTGATTTATAGAAAAAAAAAATTTTATAACTATATTTAAGGTAAAGAAAAAAATTTAGAAACATATTAAGTAAATATATATATATATATATATTTTTTACCTCGTTACTGGTTAACTTCCTCCCCTCTTGTTCGGTTCAAATAAAAAAAATTTTCGCACTCCGTCCAAACTCTGTCAATATCAACACTTCTCTTTTGATTATTATTAATCAAGCTTCCCAAATAACGAGTTTTGAGTTTTATATCGAGTGTTTATTTTTTTTTTAAAAAAAAAAAAAAAATCCACCCAATAGCGAATAAATTAGAATTTTTTTTTTTTTTTTTGTTTATATACATACATAATTCAACATAATTATTTTTAGAAAAAAAATTTTTATTTTCCCTTAGCAGATATTTAAATCGTCTGATTCCACCCCAATTTGATTTTTCTCGGTTCAAATCACCTTTTTTTTAAAAAAAAATTTTGCTTTCGACCAACTGTAATTTTTTGTTGTATTTTGCCCTCCCCTCCCCAAATATTATTATTATCATCATCATCATTATTTTAAAGAAACCGTACGTGCAGAAAGTTTTTTTTTTATCCGTCTTTAAACGAATCAAATTTGATAGCCCTCTAAAATAAACAACTGTAAGTATCTTTTATCCGTTCGCTCAACAAGAAAATGCATGAAAAAAGTAAAATGAACGAAATATTCAGAGGAACTTTACATTAGAATCTTCTTTTTTTTTTATACTTGACTCCCTTTAATCACCTCCTATTTACCTCGAATTCATATGAAATCTTTTTTTTTTTTCATTCAAATGTTCCAAAAGATTTTCCCCCCTACTCAATCCAATTTTTTTTTTCCTCCAACAACTTCTTTATCCACATTGTTCCCTTTTTTCATTTTTGTCATTTTCCTTTTGAAACTCACTGAAACGTTTTGACTTTTCCGTTTGTTTATATTGTTCATTGTCGATCGACACATTATGTTACCCATAATTTGATCTGCATATTCGTTTATTTTTGTTCCGTCATCCCTTATTTTTTTTAACTCAATGAATGCTATTCATCTGATGAACTTTCGTTAATCATTTTGTCTACTCCTAACTTATTGCTTTTTCTTTGAAATCAATCTGTCCGATCTGTTTATTTCCTTCATCTATCATTCATTAATTACTGATCAATTTTCCTCGATATCTTTTTTTTTTCCATCCGATTAGGTTCATTTATCAAAATTAATCACATGGCGCAACCAGAAATACCAACCTCAGATATGTCTCCGGCAAATTTTGGGATACCGACCCCACCGGCGAATGAGATTTCAGATGGGAAGAATCCATTCTTCTCAAGCCCGGATGTCTCGACCGATAAAGAAGGGAAGAATTCCATCCTATCCACTTCCCCTTCTACACATGATGCTGCTGATCCTTCATCAGAACCTACAACCCCTGAATCTTTCGTCTACTCCCAATCAAAATCTCGGTATTATATAAAAGATCAAGCGTTAGTTCCGTTCCTGATCGCGAAAATAGCCGAAGAAAATAATATTAAATTACCAGATCCTTCACCATTTCAATGTGGTGGAAATTATGGTGGAAATTTACCAATCTCCGCCCCCCCTTCTGTTTGTGAATCCGTCTCATCCCTTCCCGATCTGTCAGATTCCGCGTCCACGCCAATCTCTCACGAGGAGGATTCATCAGATTCGGTTACGTCGGATCGGCCCAACGTGATGTCATCTTCCGTCACGTCATCGGGCGCAGCATCCGGTTCTATCTCGTCGCCTATCATCACATCACCATCAAGCATCACCAAAACGTCATACAGTGCCCGAGTTCTGCAAAGGCTTACCAACTCATCAACCAATGCCGCTTCGGGTCTTGTTGATAATAAGGATCATAAGGTCACATCAGATCATGTTAAAATCAATGAAAAGGAAGAGAACAACAACAACAACACCATATCATCATCCAGATCTTCCATAGTCAACGCCATCGTTGCCGCCGCGGCCGCACCTAGAATGAAGCAAATTCCAAACCGATCCATTAGAAGAAGTAAGCGCAAAGGGATTCCGTACAAGTCCCCATGTCATGAGGACTTGTTACGTGAACCTGGATTCGTATTTAGCTTTCCGGTCCTTTTCGGTAATGCGATACCTAATCAATTCGAAAGTGAGGGCAACGATAAGAATGAAACAACGGAGAGAGAGACCAATACGGAGACGGGATCACCAACCGTCGTTGACAATGAGCCATCATCAGAATCGTCACAGAATTTAAAGAGTAAAGGCACAACGATCATGCCAATGCAACATGTCACGATCGATCACAAGAATCTTGCCGCAAAGATAATTCATCGTCCTGTATTATTGCCAGATATCGTGCGTTCGTTAACTCAAGCAAGGCGATCAAAGATGAGAAGACCCGTAACCAGGGCAAAAAACAGGAGAGAGAATCAAGAACTGGAGCTATTGGGACTCGAACATATGATGGATTCTCCGAACGGAAATGCGACGGCGGGTGAAGAAGGAAGGGTGAACCGAAAGCGACGCGTCCCTACGGTCGGTCGTCCCTCAAAAAAGCCAAATTTGCTTTCATCCGGTTCCCAAGCTCCCAGATCGTCCAACTCCGGTGAGAATAAGTCTCCTCGCGGTTCTTCTTGTTCTACATCTCCTGCTTTCTACCGCATTCCGTCCAAACGTCGTGATTCTATGTCTGTATCATCGCTCTCATCTATTCCTTCATCAGAACTAAGTGATTTTGATCTTAATTCAGATAATTTTGGGGATGATGAAGACGATCCAGATTTCGCTCCTCCGGCTAAGAAACGAAAGCCGGAGTTGCAAAAGGGTCCAAAAGCTCCCGGTAGAAAAGAATCTAGCAGCAAGGTAAAGGTTTGTGCCAGCTGTAGGACTAAAAGCACTCCGTGCTGGCGTCCGGGCTGGAGTACCGATCTCATGTTGTGTAATAGCTGCGGATTAAGGTTGGTATTCTATTCTTAACTTACACGACTTGATGTAATACCCAACTTAACTTAATTTTTCTCTTTTCCAATCAGATATAAGAAGACAAAGTGTGTTTGCACTAATCCGGAATGCAGATATATTCCACTAAAGACCGAATACAACGCGATGCTTAAGAAACCAAAGAATGCCGACGTACCTGACCTCAAACGGTGTTGCAAATGTCAAACTCCATTGTGAGCGTTGTAAATTTGAAAAAGGAAAAAAAAAATTTTTTTTAATTTTTTTAAAAAAAAACTAATATATATATACGTGTATATATTTGTATGTATATGTATATGTATCGACGTAGGTCGATATAATGTATATATAATCACAAACCAAAAAGATTCCCTTTTTTTCCTGCACGATTTTTTTTCACTTCGTTTAATTTTTTTTTTAATTTTTTTTTTTTTTTTATTTCGTGAAAAAAAAAAAAAAAAATTTATATATATTATATCGATAATATAGTCGATAGCATTAAATTCAATCTTAATGGTTCTCGTATGTAGATATTTTATCATACGAAAGGAGAGTTCTTTTGTAGTATATATATATATTTATTTATTTACTCTCCTTCCTTTTGTTTATAATCATACACATTCTTCAGGCAATTTTCGAATTTTGCACAAATTTTTTTTTCACTTCGTATATAACAAGATTCACGTTTTTTTATAATAATATCATTTTCCATTATCATTCACGCGTTTTTTTTATTTTTTTTTTTTTTAAAAAAAAAAAAATTTGTATAGCCGAAGTTAATATTTTTATTACGATTTTTTTTTTTTTAAATATCGAAACAATTTTTTTCTCTCCCTATAATAAGTTTTACCAAGAATTACTAGTCTTCACTCTTTTTAAGTTATTTATTCGGAGACTTCAATTTAGCTAGCAAAACAAAATATATAACGAAAAAATTTTTAATTTAACAGAAAAACGAAAAAAAAATTTTCTTGTTGATAATACAAGAAAAAAAAAATCCCATTAAAAAAAAAAAATTTCGCAAAAAAAATTTAATATATCAACCGCATTTTAACACAACACACAAATTAACACAACACACAAATTAAGCATTTTTCGAGAACTAACTAAAAGGCGCGCACACTTTTTGCTGGCTAAAATCAACAAGAAATTTTATGTTTTATATATATCTTTATTTTTTTATTTTGTTTTCGTATATATATATTTTTCTCCCTTTTTCTTCTTATATATATTATCCATTGTTTGTTTTTTTTTCTTCTTATATATATTTTTATTCCTTTCTTTGTACTTATCTTTTTCTATGTAATTTTCCCCCTCCCCCTTTGGTTTTTCAATATGTATGTAAATTCATTAGGTTTTTAGGTTTTTTTTTTTTTGTTTTGGTTTTTTGGTAATTTGTTTATTTTATAAGGTATCAATTTTTTTTTCATCTCATCACTCCATTAATATTTTTAAATGAACAATTTTATAATAATTAATTTCTATAAAAAAAAAAAAAAAAAAAAAAATTCGGCTTTATTTTTTTTTTTATGAAGGATTTTTAAGACGAGAGCTTAGCATTCGGTTTTATTTAATATATTTTTTTTTTTTTTTTTTATTATTTTTTTTTTTTTTTTTTTTAAAAAAAAAAATAGGAAAAAAAAAAAAAAAAAAAAAAAAAAAAAACTAATTGATAAATATCAAAAATATCTTATTTGAGAATTGGCAAAAAAAAAGACATTTTATTTTATATTTTTTTTTTTGAATTTTTTGAATGAAAAAGTATTTTTTATTTAGGAATTATACACGTAAAACAAAAAATTTTGAAAAAAAAAAAAAAAAAGAAAACACGTTCCTCATGTGCATCTGCCCGCATATCACAAAAATCATACCTGTCAAAAAAAAAACGTAATGAAAATAATGATGAAATGACAATGGAAACCTTATTTCTAAATTTAAAAAAAGAAATGAAAGTTTTTCCCGCCAAAAAAAACTTTTTTTTTTTTTTTACCCTGTTTGTGAAACTCGAATAGTTTTTATTTACCACAAATATATTTTTTTGCATTACATTGTACATTAAAAAAAGTTCCTTTTTAACTGGTTAGTATAAACTTGAAAATTTATGTTACAACTCGATATTTTTTTTTTTTTACAATGACTAACTGATTGATACATTTTCTGTGAGTGAATGAACTTGCTTCAAAAAAAAAACAGGATTTGGGAATCAATTTCGCGTCTTGCATCGACTAAACGCGTATTATCCATTAAAGTTAATAAATTTTTTTATTTGTCATGTAATAGTTTACATACTATAGTATAAAATTGAACAATTGAACTTTATTTGTTTAATGTATGCAACTTGAACGAAGTTTCTATATAAAAAAATATATTCGAACTTTGTTTTAGCCAATCAAATTAAGCATTTCTCAGATGTTGCCTTCTTAATTGATCCACAAAGTTTATTTGTTTAAAAAGGAAGGATTAAGCCTTTTTTATCTTGATTGCAAATAAAAAGACTATTGCTGGTCTTGTTTTTATTGCATTGTCTCTTTTTTTTTCCATAATATCTTGACATCATAATGACTGTTTGTTGATGGATTTTCATAACAATATAAATTACTTTCTCATTAACGCTATAACCGTTTGGCCAATTGTTCGATCTATACCAAAATTGGTTAAGTTCTTCAATTGTCAAATTAACTGTCAAAACAAATTTATTCAACAAAAAAGATTCTTTTTTTACTATAAAATACCTACTTATTAAAAAAATATATATAAAATTAAAAAAATCAAGAATTAATTAAATTAAAGTTAAAATAAATATATAACCATATCTTTATCTTACATTAAAGTTAACTAAATTGAATGCTCTAATTGTTATTATTAATCAAATATTTGTTTAGATTAACTGTAACCTATCAATACTAAGTAAAATTACTATTTTTTACATAATTTGAATTTTCACATAGATTCCCTTTTATTTTACTTTAAAATCAATTATTTTGAAACTTATAATAAGACTAATAAAGCATTTTTCTAATTAACTTTTATATTTTCTATTCACTATATCTGAAATCTCAAAAGAAAAAATAATAATTATATCAATAAATACTTTGATTATTTTTAATAAATCTTATTCTATAATCATTTGATTTTTTTTTTTACATAAAAATAATAATTTTATTAATATAAATCTTTCTAAATATTCTAAATACTAATATATGTTTTTAATATAAGACTAAGAAATGGAATTCATATATATCCAAAGCAAAATACTATATATTCTATTTATAAATAATGTATACAGATAAACAGATATTCATATTATTGGATCTTTTAATATAAATATATAAAATCTTTTGCTTCATTTTAGACAATCATCCATATATTTAGTTAAATAAAAGATATGATTTATATTATATTATTATATCTTATTTAAACCTTTTGTTAAAAAATATTATATAAATAAAATACAAATTTCTAAATCAGTTAAATATCTACTTATGTTTTATATACAGTCCCCGTCAAAAGTAATAGCAGACAGTTTTTTAACCTTATACATGTAATCTTATATCAAATATAGGTAAATTTTTTTTTTAAATAAAGATAAAAATAATATTCATAAATTTTATTAGATAATTAATATGTAGTGTGTCTTCTATTTGCATCAATACATGCTTGAATTTGATTAGCATGCTATTGATATAATTAAGTAATATTGAGTTATCAAAATTATCCCATTTCTTCATTAAAAAAAAATTTCATTTGAAATTTTTTTTTATGCAACTAATATTTTTAATATTTTTTCTCAATTTTTTGTTAAAAAACTATCCAAATATTGTACATTCCTATTCCAAAGGAACTTTATGACTTTGCGACTCATTTTAATAGATATTGATGGTATTGTGATTTCAGTAAATAATAAAAAAGTTCAAATAGATTTAATTTATTTTTTTTATTGTTTATTTTATATAAACATATTATTATCCAATTTGGTCTAATAAACAATAAGCCAAATTATGATAACAAAGTTGCTGTGGTCTACACAAGAAGCAATGTCCCCAACCGCCATTACTTTTGACAGGGACTGTATATAAATTTATAATTACAATCTATCTTTTATGATAACTATCATTATAATTTTTTTATTTCAAAATAAAATAATACAAATTATACATTTTTAATTAAATTTATATCTTTTTTTTTTTGATAATAAAATTAAAAAAAATGTAATAATTAAAAATGATTTAATCTTTATTAAAAATTTTATATATAAATAGTCATTATATATTATGAAGTTTAAATAATAAAATAATTTTTTAGTTTTTATTTTTATTTTTTATATTACATTTTCTTTAATTATATTAATATTCTCATTAATTATATATGCAAATATTTTTATAATGTAAATATTTAAAATATCATTTTAGCTATATAATTATTCAAATAAAATTTTGATTTATTTATATATTAAAAATTTTTACTTCTTATATCTATTTATAATTAAAGTTACTCATTAAATATTTAAGATTTTATTTATTCAAAATATTTAAAATTATTATAAAAGTAATAATTATTATTCTACCTAATAATAGTATTATAAGCATATTTTATTAATCTAACCTATTTTTATATAATTTTATTTATGAATTTTTTATTATTAATATTTGATTTACAATATTTCAATTTTTTTATTTTTTTTTTATTTTTATCAATTTATTTTTTATTTAACTTTTTTTTTTATATTTAACAAAAATAATTGATTATAATTATATTTCTAAAGAAATCTACAAATTTTATAAATAAAAAATAAAATAAATAAAAAGAAAAAACATATTTATATAAAGTATATAAAGTTAAATATTATAGTCAGACCTTTAGGAAAGACCGTTCTATATAAGGGAGTACTATTACATAATTTATTAAATTTTTTTATACAGTTTATAATGTATTTTCATGAGACTAAAGTTATCGATCTGTATAATGAAACATGGACAAATCAATTAAAATAACTTAAAGTTCTCGTATTGTACTATTATATATTTTTTTTAATCTCTGTTAATTCCATATCTTTACGTTACTATCCACCTCTAAAAATATGTATAAAACAAAACAATGCACAGAATGCCAAATTACTAACTCGACTAAATTTCACTCATTGAAGAAAAAAAATGGAAAGAAGCTGAAAATAATGATTTAGTGAAGGTAATATGAAAAAAAAATGTTTTTTTATATAATGTTTGTTATATGCGTTTTGTAGAAAATCTTTTAAAAAAGGTCCTAAGAGAGTAAAAATTATGGAAGAAAAAGTCATGAATGAAAACATCACAGACACAAATGGTATAAAAGTTGATTTTGTTAGAGATATCAAGGTGATAGCAAAAATTCTTTATAAGAGAGAACATGTAAAAGAAGAAGATCATATATATGCATTTGATGAAATGTGAAGATTATTTCAAGAAATTGATCTGAGCTTAAAAATTTTCTTTGATCAACTATATTTAGCAGCTCAGCTATTTGAACATAACAAGCAAATGATAAATCATATGAAAAAATTAATGGTATTAATTTGTTATCTTCTTACTTCATTAAACAACACAAAAATTAATTGCTTTAAGTTTGATCTTGTATATTATTTAGATTTAATAACCATGAATAATGAGGGTTTGAATACACTTGCAAATATCAGCATAATTATAATAGTAAGAGTTGTAGATTACAAGAAGAAAAAAATATCAGATGCGCATAGAGAATATATAAAGAATGCTCTTATAAAATATTTGAAAAATGCATTTGTGTTGAATATCAATGATTATCACAACATTCATATTCAAAGACAACCTTATACTATAGATATGTCTTAGGCGGCACACATGGTAACTATTATAGTAATTCTATATTTTACATTGTGATACTATGAAATAGAGTAATCAATTTAAAGATAGCTGATAATGAATTGATTGAAAGGCATCTTAGTAAACGATTTATTGTAAATCTTAAAATTTCCTACAGTCATATGCAGAATTACGTAAAAAAAGAAAGCTCCGATAATGAGTTCATAAATAGGTTAACATTACACAGCTATAATGATAAATTAGAGGAGAAAAAGAGTAAGCAGCATATACAAAATGCTATTTTTATCAATTTTGTTAAAGTAATTTGAAAAGTATGAAAGAATATACAAAGGTTTTTTAAATTGTATACAATCAAAAAGTAATATAAGATTATTTTACTAATCATATAATTCCTATTATTACAGACTAAGCTGGTTAGCTTTACATTTATAAAGCTATTGCTCAATGGCTCCTTATTAACAATAAAGTCATTTCCTTGGTTATTTCTTTATTTCTATCTATTATGGATCTTTTTCATGTGACTTTAAATGTTTGTGAACTTGTTTTTTTTAAAAAATTCATTTTTTTTAATGATATTTATAAAGGTATATTCGAAGTACGTAAGAATATTAGTAAGAAGTCATAACCATGAAGAATTAATTTAATTTTTCATATTGTATGCATAACATAATTTGAAATAGCTGATACTGTTTATTCAAAGTTTAGTTATATATGTAAGAATATAGAATATTTATATTTAACTGATCTACTAAGCAACTTGATTCCTTTAGTCCTTAATATTTATGTAGTGTATATTAAGAAGGAAATTAGCCAGCCTATGAAGAAGTTTGTATATATTGTTGAAGTGATCTTTTTCTTCAATTTGATTGAAAGAATTATAAGCGTGCTTTTTTAATATTTTTTTCTAATATTTTTATTGAATGGAGACTAATCATCTGATAATTAAAATGATTACTAATCATCTTGTCTCAATAAGTGACTGCCCTATAAAACTTGTTTATAGTATTATTTGATAATATACTACTAAGTTTTTTACAGCTAAACAATTATAAAAGAAGGTATATTTTATTTTTTAGCATTGAGAAGATAACGCTTTTTGACAATATTTTATGAATTTAGTGAAATATCTATATACACTAAAGCAATTTTATATGCTTTTCAAGAAGTGTGTTATATTGCTCTTAAATGCATTTATAAAAATATATCAAACATGTGATTAGTATTCTTTAATTATTAAATCTTCATCTGAAAGTATTAACACTTACAAACTTCCTTTATTAAGTTACAAGATAATGGATTATCATCTTCCAAGAGACTTTGTTACTTGTAGAAAATCCAATACTTCTACTTTATATGATTACATATATTGCGATGACAATTCACTTGATGGTAGCATTTTAGCATGTGATCATAGTTACCATAATATTTGCTTATAGAGAATTCAATTTAAATGCTTGATATGTCTAAATTATCTTCAAGGTGAGGTTAAAAAGAATATCAATACATTGATAATAAGCTTGACAAAGAAACTAGTTGAAAGTAAATTATTTGATAATGAAGAAGATACAATTGATGAAGATTTGAGCAATG